AAATAAAATAAAAAAAGAATTACTGCCTTGGAAACCCAACGGGGGTCACTGTGAGAATCGACCTGACGTCAGTAAGTTTGTTTTTGTTCTACGTATCAGGAGCTCTGGTAGCATAGTGCCTAAGGCACTTGACTGCTCACCAGAAGGATGGCTGTTCAAACCCACCAGCCACTCCTCGGAAGAAGGTTGGGCAATCCTACTTCCGTAGTGATACTGCCTCAGAAACCCAAGGAGGGGTTGCTATGAGTTGGGGCTGACTCGACGGCGAACAACATCAGTAAATACGGATTATAGCTTCAAGTGGCCTATTTTTGATGAACCATTATTTATTTAGTTAACTGCCATTTTTAGACATTTAAATGGTGTTTTAGCTTTTAGTTGCTGTAATCAGTGCTAAACATTTTTGAATATTTATTTTTCCAAATTTATCCAATTATTTCCTTGGAGCAAATTCCTAGATGTGTAACTACAGGATCAAAAGGGTACAGACTTTTCTTACACTTTGGATATCTGTTCCCAAACTGCATTTTACTGTACTGTGTTAAAGGAGCAGCATTGGTGGTGTAGTGGGTAAGGCATTTGGACACTAACCAGAAGGTCAGTGGTTTAAACCCACCAGCTGCTCCATGAGAGGAAGACCAGGCAATCTACTTCCATAAAAGTTTATAGCCTTGGAAACCCAATGGGAGTCGCTGTGAGTCGGAAGTGACTTGATGGCATGGGTTTGTGTTTTTGGGTACTGTTACACTTCCCTTAAGTGTTGAAATATCCCTAACAGATGATCCCTTTAAAGGGTATTTTGGATGGATCTCAGTTCAGTCAGTCAACAAGTATTTCTTCAGTAACTAGTTTTTGGAAGATTTTGAGTCAGAAAACATTTTTTTTTTTTATAGTAATCCAAACTGTTTTAGTACTTCAGTGCCTTTGAGCTAGACCTGCAGTATGCCAAAATGTAGAGAAGAGGGGAAAAGTGTTGAGTGTTTAGGATGGCTACTTCACTCCTTTAAGTTACCTGCTGGTCCTCACAGGAATCTGAACTTACTCTTCCTGGCTAGTCCAGTCATTTACTGGCATTTAGCCACTAAAATGGAATAGAGAAAAAGGCACATTTTTGTGTGATTTGGGTCATAAACAGAGCATGTATGTCTTTGTGAGTTCTTAAAGGACTCGACATTTGCAAAATCTCCTTCCCAGTTCATGTATGACATCCCAGTTCATCATGACATCCAGCAATCTAATACCTTCTTACCCCTTGGAGATTGGACCCTTCTGTGCTATTAGACCCTTCTGTGGTCACGATGAGTTGGATTTTTTTTATTATTATTATTTTCAAAAACACTTATGTGCAAATTGTGTATACCTGGAATTCCTTTGACACCATCAAGCCCTGGCAATCCTGGGAGACCTGGAGGCCCTGGGGCACAAGGACACTGTGTGCACGGAAGGCCTGGTTCTCCTGTAACAAAGTCATACCTGCATTACTCACAAACCCACACCTTGTCATCAGAAAGGACGGATGTTTTCCAGCACACAACCAGTTATTACCTTTAAAATTCCCACTGATCAAGAAATGTGATTGTTTTATGTAATGAAAACATCTAGGACATTGCATGTATTCATAAAAATTTTTCATGTATGGTATCTATTTTATTAATCTAAACAGTTCTGAGAGAAAAAATTCCAAGAGTCTAACATAAACTGTCTAATATCTCTGTGTTTCTCTTTTTGAGTACAAGATAAAACTAATATTCTAGGGGTTGTTGTTGTTGTTGTTGTTATGTGCCTTCGAGTCGGCCCCAACTCATAGCGACCCTTCCTTGGGTTGCAGAGGCAGTATCACTACGGAAGTAGATTGCCCAACCTTCCTTCCGAGGAGTGGCTGGTGGGTTTGAACTGCCAGCCTTCTGGTTAGCAGTCAATGCCTTAGGCACTATATTACCAGAGCTCCTATATGTGTATATATTGTAAATACACACAACACACACACACATACACTCATGATTTTCTTTTGACAACAGCTTACCATTGTTCTAAAAGGGTAA